AGCCAATACATCCTTAATATGTCTATACTGATACTGGTTAGAAGAAAAATGAATCGACGACGTTGAAAGCATTTGAGAATTGATAAACGAATTTCAGAAATTGTATGATTCTCGAAAATGGTTAAAATTCGTAATAATTTCATAGCTAGATGGGATTTCGTCTAGCCACCTCGGTTCGCCGATTCCCCAAGTAGGAACGCTCGGAGTTCGGAAATTATTCACCAACAGCCGTGAACGTTGGAGGCAACAGAACGTCAGCGGCGCGTTTGCTGAACTTCGAAAATTGGTACCTACTCATCCGCCGGATAAAAAATTGTCAAAGAACGAAATCCTGCGCATAGCTATTCGGTAATCCAAATCAAAATGAAAGATGAAATAATTATTTAGGGAAGACAATATTTTAGATTCTTCGTATTGAGTCGTGATATTTTCTAGGTATATACAACTGCTGAGCGACGTCCTGAAATGGCAGAAAGCGCAAGAGCGGAACGAGGCGACGCAGCACGAAGTTCGAATCAAATGCGAACCCAATTTCAACACCCAGAATTCGACGCACTATCACACAAAATCTACGGTGGCGTATCTGAAGCAAGAGAAGCAAATGAACGAGAACGTTCACGGGTACAGGACGAGCTTCGCGGGGCAGAAGCAGGTGCAGCATTCGATCTCTCACGTCGTGTGCGACAAAAACGGGAATAATTTATTAATGATCGCGCCTAGCGGTCACAGCGGGTCGAACGACGTTAAGAGAAGCGTGACGCCACAGAATCAGCTTCCTAATCTAATGAACAACGCGAGCATACGTCCGCAAACCTGTTCTCGGCCTTCGAACTTTCCAAAATCACCGCAGATCAATTCACATGTCGTTACCAGCTCGAGTTTGCTGACAAATTGTTCTTCGAGTACCTCAACGACCAGCAACACTTCTGGTATTAATGGAAGTGCGTCGAGCTGCGGTCAAAAGAGGTTGAAGTTGGAAAAGGAGGAGGAGGAACAGTCTGGGCAGAGCAGAGAGTGTAGAAATTTGACGACCTCGGTACACGGAGTGCCCGTCAGGAAAAGAGTTAAGGTGACGTTCGTCAAAGACTCGAACTCGGGGTTTCGAAACGATTTTCGAGACCGCAAATAAAAAGGACCGTGACTTTCTTTTTTATATAAGGAAAAGCCTGATTTTTGACAAGTGCAATCTATTCCAGAACGAGTCTCGTTTCAACTTTGGTCAGTGAGAACTCGTCGCTTTCTCAAAGAATATTTTATTAGTCAATCCATGGTACATCGTTTGAACATTTGGTGACGCTCTCAAGTCACAATTTCTAGTTGCACGTTCGACATGATTACACCGATTATTAAAAAAATCAATATTCAATATTATGTAATAGTTTGCGGTTCAGATTGGATTAAACCCCATGGAGCTTTTAATTACTCTTCTCGCGATTGCATAACACTGTGATTTGCGCATGGAACATAGAAACGTCACAAGCATAAAGTCCAACGTTAAAACGGATGGTGAACTCTGAAGAACTACTAACGTGTAACACTTAATTAGGATAATTGCCTTACCACGAACCGAACCAAATAAAACGGACACACTCACCTTTGACGATCTCTCTTTCTTCATTCTTCGGTTCCATTCAAAACTCTATTACTTTCACTGAGTCACCGTTTATGTCAAATACACTTTGTATCTGGTGCTGTCCCTTTCCTCTCTCTTCTCGGCGATCTCTTTCAAACGAGCAGCCGCGTACCGATCGTCGTTCCATTCCACGGGTGGAACAGGCGTCGACGGTCGCTCTTCCGTTTGACTGAAAGCTCTTCGCGGTGGAACTTGTACCATCTTCCCGGTACCCTTAACGTCCATACTCGCCCGTTTCCCCGTGCCTTTCACCGGCGCATCACTGCTACTCGAATCTCTTTTCGCGATCGTCACAATTTTGCTACGTGAATCTTTCGTCACAGAGGCCTCGCCATGAACTGCCTTCGATTTGATATCAACTTCTGGCATCCTCTTCTTTTCTACTGGAGAACGACTGGTATCCTGCGACTTTAAACTTTCCGAACGTGCAGACCGAGTGGAACGAACGGAAGCTTCTTGCTTCAAAGAACTCTCGGCGCGAGCCGAACGCGTCGAGGCTCGTCGTTTCTGGTCGTAATCGTCCGAGTACGTGCGTCGCTCTTTCAGTTTTGGTTTCGTCCTGCCGAGATCCTCGCTGTACCGCAGGCGATCGTTGAACTTCCTCAAACGCTCCTCGTACTCGTTGTTGAAGGTGTCTGTACCAGTCGTATAATGCTCTTCCTTTGGTACGCGTTTCTCTTGGTTCGACTTTACTTTCGTGTCCATCAGCTAAAACGAATCAAGAAATCGAATTATCTTTATTTCTATATTTTTTAACGTACGTTCCGTGGCTCGTTCGTTGGTTTTTTCCTGACCTTGATCAGCTTTGCTCTGTCGTTGAACTCTAAATCTTGACTGTTCCTCCGAGCCGGCCGATGGTCCCTGTCCTCCTCGCTACCGCTTTTACTGATCCACGCGTTTCCACGTCTAGCGTTGACCGCCCTCTTCGGCCACTCGTTCTCCGTCTTGAAATCGTATAAATCTCGCATTTTCTGCGTCAGTCGTTTCGACTGCTCGGCATCCGGCGAACGCCTCGTCGGTGTTTCTTTGTTTGGCTCCAATTCATCTGCAATTTTTCGATCTCGTTAATTCATAGATCTTATTTAAAGAGATTTAACACGAGAAAATTCTTGTCTGTGACACGCGGCAGATAAATTAATTAATCGCTCACCTCGTTTGGGGCTGGATTCAGCGCTGGCCCTTGGGGCGAATTTCCTTATGGGTTCCCACCTGGGCGACTCTTTCTTAGCCTGTCTTAGGGGCGATCCATGGCTCGGTGACGTTTCCGTCGCGGACGGCTTTCGTTCCAAGTCGATTCGCGACGACGAATTCTTGACGAACGTCATCCACCGGCTCGCTGCGCTTTTCGTAATCTCGCAGCTCCTTGCGAACGGCGACGACGATGCGTCGTACCGGAACTTTGAGGTGTCAATTTGCGGTAGCCACCTAAAGGTATTCGGTACTCAGAAATCCGGTCAGTCGCGACAGACGATAGATTCGACTTCGATACGGTCGGTCAATTAACAACGAGATTTCGTTTCTTTGTTACTCCTCGTATATTTATGTTCGTACGTAGATTATAAATATTATCACCTTTATATACGTGTATATTGTATATGTATATATTATATATGTACCGGAGAAACGAGAGCTGCGTTTCGTATTGATCATGCCATTTAATACATATTCTCTATCCACACAACGACCGACATCGAATTACTTTATTTAGTTCTATGTATGTACATGTATAATAATTAGCATGGCGACACGATTGTTATCATCATAATCATTACAATTAGTGCAACTATTTCGTTATTTCGTTCAAATATTAGGATACGCGGTTTCACGGAAACGGTCTTTTTTTGACTAGGAAAATGTGCTCGGTCAACCTCGTCGCGATCGCTCTCGAGTCGCTGCACTCCGTGTTCCTTCGTTCCTCGGTCAGTTTCTCTTTCTTCGCGCGGCCGACGTCCGCGCTGTGACTCCTACCGGCCGCTTGCCTGTACGTCGCCGGTGACGGCGTTTCGTTCTTCCCGTCCTGGTCCTTGGCCCCGTCTTCCTCTTTCGTCGCCGGCAATTTCTTCGGCGTACTCGTTTTCTCCTCGGGCTCGTCCGAAAGCGAACGTCTCTTCTCTTCGTCCTTGGACGTTTGCGGCGACTTTTTCGACGCCGGTTGAACCCGCGTTATGTTTTTCGGCAGTGGTATCCATCGTGTGGGATCGAGCTTGCTCGTGTCTGGTATTTCCGTGTGTCTTCTCTCTTCTACTCGCCTCTCGGTGTACTTTTTTAAACAGTCCACGTCCGCGCTGCGGCTCCTCTGGCTTCGAGGAGAACGCGAGGGTCTTCGTTGACCGGTGCCCAACGGGCAAGCCCTTTCCTGGGTATCGAACAAGATACGTCTGATTCATAATGGATTCTTTGGGTTCGTTGCGGGTTGCAAGTATAATACGGGAGTGGGAACGGCGAGATGATTCAAACAGAGAAGTAATTCACCTAAGCGAGGTGTAGCTTCGCATAATCTGATATGTGCAAAATGCCGTGCTGCGCGGACGCGACGTGCAAGCTGGCACCGCAGGCACGAGGGTTTATCCTAGAGGTGTGCAATTCGGCGATTTGAGTACTGCAAGCTGCCGCGGAGTCACCGCTGGACGACAAATGTCCAGCCCAGAATTCGTTTCCTAATGAGATGAAAATTAGTTTGAAATTCCTTGAGAATTTAATTGCGAAGCATTCAATTACCTGACAACGCGTTGCCGTCCCAGGCGTACGACACTACCAACAGTTTATTAGCGTCCGACGATCGGAACAGTTTGCTATGTGGTTCCTTCAGCGCGAAGTGAATTTTTATATCTGGAAAGTGTTTACGTCATTCTTAGCGACATAGATAAGATCACTTGAAATTTATTAGAGTCAACGAACCACCGAGGTAATCTCCATTTCCGGCGTCGCCGCATTTTTGATGGTTGAAGTACGCGAACATTATATCGGAAACGTGTCGCAGTTTCTTATTCATTTTCCTCAAAGCGATTTCGAAAGTTTTCAAAAAGTACACGTCCTGGTCTTGAACTACCCTCCATACTCCTGGAAGAATCAATTTATACAACAAGAACGTCAGACAGTATTTCTAAATATTTTTACTGACCGAGACCGAAACCGACGACGTGAAGAAAAGCAGTCGTGTTCATCTTCTCCGCCCGGGCGTTCGCCTCGAGGAGTAGAATCTCTACAGTGAGCAGAGTCCTCTTCATGTAATTTTCAATGTCGAACACAGTTTCACTGTCTAAAGGTAAATATTTCCTGTTGTCTTTCGATTTAACTTTCTTCAGGGTTTCCTCGAACAACGGCAGGTATTCTTCTCCGTAGAACTTGGCCCATACGACTTTTAGACCACGTTTCTCTTCCGAACTTGCATTCGTGTGTGGCCCATATCTGTGGTCATCAAAAACAATGCAGTAAACGTTGATAAAACGATCGAACTGTATTAAAAAAATATTTTATTTCTTACCCGTTATCGGTTGTGTTTTGCGCTTGTGTAACTAGAATGTCTTGATACTCCATGACACCAGGTCGTTTGCATCTACGAACGGAGAATCAATTAGACTTTTATTTCTAATTAAATATATTATCGATGTCGAACTTGGATTTGTCAAAGTGCGCGGGTTTTAAGTAAACATAGAAAACCTTGTTCCCACGACACCTATAATGACTCCCCTCGGCTGTACGGAGTCTGGGTCAGTACTCACGACACCTCTGTTCTCTCGCGCGCCGTCGTTTATGAATTCTGTGTGGGAGGACACCGCCATCATCGACGACAATTTGATCTCGTCGTACGACAAACATTTCGTCAACACCTGTTCATAGTGGAAAGACGACAGATGTATAATCTCACGTCTTATGAAATTATTATTCGCGTGCATTGCCCGTGCGACGTTATACTCGAATCGACACTGACCAGGGGTTCCTTCTCGTGATCGGTGCCAATGTTATCCCACCCTTCGGCGCCCGTTTTACCGTCGATCAATTTCCATCGATCACTGGAACCATAAAAGTACACCGCCCTTTTCTCCAGCATACGATGAATGAACTGGACCAGTCCCATGTCCTTGTACATAGCCCTTTCTATAGCACTGCCGTAAAGCCGTTTGTGCTTCAACCATTGAGCGAGCAACGGTAACATCGCCTCGTGTATCAAAGGGTACACCGAATTCGCGTTCCTCTGAAAATTCAAGCTTTCAAACAACTGATGAATAAAAAATGTATTAAATGCCCTCGTGGACTGATAATTGTCTTTTCTTTATAATGTTATAAAAGGCTAATTGCATTACGCTCGGTCTTTAATAGACTACCTCGAGGACCTCCGTGGGAATTCCTCTATCCTTCAGCGCGAAACATCTTACGGTCTTAATTGGAAAGTTTATGGGGAAGGCCTCGCTTCGCTTCATGATTTGTGCCAGGGTCGTGGGCGTCGGCGTCGAGACGTCTATGCATTTCCTGAGGAGCTCCTTCGTGTCGTCGTCGAAGGGCACGCCGTCCGGCGCTCCCAGCGTGTTCTCCCACGATATCTCGGGTGGCTCCTTCAGCACCGCCTGCTGATTTTCATCGAGTCGACCGCGACTCTATACATTTTTAAACATCGATACTTCAATCTCGTTACGAGTGGAACGATAAATAATTCATGTTTTGTGGGACAGTTCGTGTAATACGGGATTTCATTGGGAAAATCAGTGAAAAATACACGGCGATTTCCGCTGGTAAACTTGACTCGCGAAGGGATCACGGTCGATACCCGCGTAGCCTGAAATAAAAAGGGATTCGCTCAAAATTGATCCCTTCCGTCATGGTCAAACGCGCGATCCGTTCCGTCGTGATCGAAAGGGACTGATCAGAGGTAAGTGTCGTGGTTTTATTTTCATCGGACTTTCTTCGGCCAGGGTGATCAGTAGACGCGACGGTTCTAAGAAAATGTTCAAAACCAAAGTCGCGTTCTATTAATACGGGAGCGTTGATTAGAGCAAGGGCGCGGATCTCTTTGATACTTGAGCATGAAATCCGTTAAGTAGCGGAAAATGTAATCGTTCACCCTAGCGAGTTACGTCGGACGCGGGAAACCCTCTACCCCTGCCGTAGCGTAGGTACCCGTAACGTCCAAGTTAACTTCAGTTTTTCTGTTTACCGATTCTGCCACCTGAGCGACAGGGGTGAGCAAGAATTGAGGCTAGCCCGTGGCCATGGAAAAATCGAAACGGCAGTCACTTTTTTTTTTTTTTTTTAATTTTCTGGTAAACAAGACTCGCTCGACCGTCGACGCATTTGGTTAATTCGTTAATTACGATGTCGACATCGAAGAATCGGGATTCCGTTCTAAAGGTATTACAGTGTCATTATTGTTGTCGGTACCGATACAATTTCATAAATCGCAGTCTCCGCGGTTTAATTCCACCTAAATACACGTTAATATCTATGACGCAAAACCTTAAGACTCCTTTGAGATATCTCTGCGGTAGTCATAATTGTTCGTACACTTTGATGCGATTAAGTATTATCAATCTACGTTACCTTCCAATTTCTCTTGAACATGTTTCCTCTACCGTATGAAATTGATCAATATTTGATTTGTCCGATTCCCGCAATTTCAGACGTCGATGTTTCGTAAAAGGAATCTACTTGCAATGAACCTCGAATTGCACGGATTGATCAGTTATATACCAAACACGCGTACATACATACGAAACACGGATAAGCGTGTTCCGAGAAAATGTATCAGAAATAGATATTGTTGTCAATAATAAGCGATGAATAATTGGATAATTAACAAATCGTATACAGTTAGTATACAAAAATACACAAAATACAGTTTAGTAACTGATTGAAGCGATTGGTTTTAAGATTATTGCATATCATATAGCCATCGCGTGCTCACATGTCAACAATGACGATACGCGCCGTGAACCGATGATTCACCGAGCATCCAGCAGCGGTCGGGTCGGACCATTATGGTCGATCCTCACAGAGCCTGCGATGCGATGCGATGCGATGCGCTGCGTTTCCGTATTTTTCGAGTTTTCGACCGGGTCTGCCAGTGCTGTAGGCTATATCCTACAGCATATACTGAAAGCATGTAAAAGTCGGAGACTTTGGAGGGCCCCAGTGTTAGCTAGCCGAGAATCGGTAGCTCGAGGACCATGTGTGTGTGACTATGTGTAAGTGAACAGCGGGGGGTCTGACCCGTAGTTTGGGTCCTCGAGTAACGGACTCTCGGCTAACTATTACGGGGGCCCTCCAAAGTCTGCGACGTTTACATGCTTTTAGTATATGCTGTAGGGTACAGTCTACGGCACTGGTAAACCCGGCCGTAGGCTCGAAAAATACGGAAACGCAGCGCAGCGCATCGCATCGCATCGCATCGCATCGCATCGCATCGCATCGCATCGCATCGCACGCTCTGTGAGGATCGACCATAAAATCAGTGAGTCGCGTAGGCGGGAATGAGGAAGACTCACCCGACGTATACAACAGGCGAACAGCGACATGCCCAGAACGTTTGAGTTCAGGACGGTAGCGCGCGGAAAACGACCGGAAGTCGCGTGGAAACGGCGCCGGATACGGTGTGCTGATGCCGGTGGTTTCCGGCTGTTTCATTCACGCGGTTCTACGAAATCTCGCGGCTACGCTCGGAGCTCGAGTCCCGCGGATACGATCGGTACGTCCGAACGAAACGAGTCACGATACAGAACTCGTTTCGACACGGTATTCAGTACACATGCGTTCTCTCAGAAGAGGCGCTTGCGCACGGGTTTTCCCGTAAAGGAAACGGCGGAAGAATTCACCTCCGGATTAAATTTCAATCCTGAGGAATGCGAATTTTACGCCCATGGAACGAATTTTCAGCCGTACGAAGAATATTGCATCATTTAATTTTGATTTTACTAGATTTAGACTGTCGATCATTGGAAGATGAATTTGGGTTTTATAATTATCCGGTGAACAATAGCTATTTATAGAGATTATTCAAACGATAATGACAACACATGACGTGAATTCCATACAATGATAAGCACTGGGTAAAGATAAGACTGCTCTTTTTGCGTTACCATGACATTTAAATGCCACATACGTAGGATGTTAATGAACGCGTTGTAATCAGCATTTCCGAAGAAAAACTGGCCTTTATTACAATAGTGTCGAGGAAATAACAAGTGTCATGTAGCCTTCTGTCGCACGAAAACGTCTGCGATCTTTGACGTCGTTTCTCTTCAGTAGTATTTCCTCGATGGTACTATTAAAGAAATTGTATACTCTGCAGCGTAGAACGTGAGATAGATCGACGAGATTGTTTAGAATATTTTTATAAAAAGAAAGGAGTTGAAAAGTAGTCTAGTGAATTTCAACGACGTACACACGCGGGTCTCCTTTAATCGCGTAAACGGTTTTTTACGTCACGAAGAGAGTGTTAAAAGAGTACATGGTCATACTCTGAAAGCCGATAACGTCACTCTTTCTGTGCGCGACACAAAGAACTCTTATTTTTCATTAAAGTGTAATAAACAGTCGCCTTTCTATTCTCGTGCGAGTTAGTAAACTAAAGGAGAAATAGTGAAGTTATAAAATCTGGTGCGAGTAGCTATTAAAACGGATGTACGAAGTTGCCAATATTCGATTTAAATTTCCTTTATAATCCTAAATAATTAGCTTCGTTACTGCGACCACGTTTCCGGTCAGTCGAAGTTCTTGAATAATTTAGATGGTCTGAAAGGATTTTGTTGTTGTTTTGTTATTTCGTTTCGCGGGTTACACTGGAGTTCCATCTAACGAATCCCTTCACAATGTCGATAGTACCGACGCCGCGAAATCAATATTAGAACAATAATTCGAAGAACTATCTATCCGAAGAATGAACAAGCTTATCACGCGAGTCGGTCGCGTTAAGTTGAACGGCGCGTGCCCCTTCATTCTCGAAATTTTTCAGGACGTGCACGTATTTAAAACCGGTTTCACGATTTACGCTTCGGAGTACCGGTAAATGCAAACCGTGTGTTCCTTCACCGAGCGTTCATAGGACGTCGTATTTTAATGAACGAGCAAAGAGATGTCGATACAAAAAAGTGTATAAAAATAGCAGTAGGAGGAGATACTTAGGTAACGTGGACAACAGATCATCGGGTAAACGTTAGAAATGGTTGGAGTGTGACTTTTGGAACGACTTGGACGAGGTTTAATTCGCATGGTACGTCAGAGAATTATTCGAGGTCGGCGGCGCGTTATCGGGCGAGGGATGGAAAGGTATGCAACGGACGGGCGTTCAGGTATCACTGGAGAACGGCGGGAGAGAGAGGAACGGAGGTAAAGACAAAGACGAGATGATAAAAATACGTCGATAAAACTGAGGTGAACGCCGCAGCGCACGGTGAACGTACGGTACCCCCATTTTGGAGCCGAGTAGTCGTAGGCTGGTCCCTCTCTCTTTACGACGAGTCAGGGACGGCTCAAGATCGGAGACACTGACTTTTGAATCATTCCCTCTTCCAGCCACGCCGGCTGACTACTAATTATTCACTGCCGGGCATAACGGGTCTATCAAAAAATTTCATCGGTGCACTCCCCCTCGTGACCTCCATCGTTCGTCCGATCTGAGCGAAATAATAATTCTTACGTCACGGTAAAACGGTTTTTTCAACGAGAGAACGAGAGAATCGAAGTATTCAGGAATATAACGAAACCTCTGATGCATGCATTTCGTAGACGTCGTTCGTAGATAGTCGTTTCAAGCAGGTAGAAATCCGGCAGTTCGAGAGCAGCGGGTCATCCGATGCCCCCGTGCACTTCACCTCGATATTCGATAGTTTCCTCTTTAGTTTCACCTTGAATCGGTACAAGCTCGTTTCGGCGTCTTCCCTCGATCTCTTCGCCTATGTAAAAGCTATAACGTCGAGCAGCGTTCCCTAGATTCAGGCGTGGCCTCGAATCAAACGATCCCACTGACCTTTTGCAGAATCCATTCTGATCATTGCACGAGGAATTTAATATTCGGCGGTCATTCCCACGAGTAGGAAAGTCCGAATCAGATTTCAGGGAACGAGAGGGACTGCGCCAGATTGGATTAATTTGCATGTTTACTCAGGAGGAATTCTCGGATGCATCTCTACTTTTATTAACGCCAAAGTTGAACGTGTTGAGAAGGTCTTTCACTGCTTCCTGTCCAGATTCAAGGTTCTAAGAGCGAGCTCGTGTGCTGCATTCCTCTAAATCAATTGAGCGTATACCGATACGTTGTGAAATTAAATTAGAAATTTAAATGATGACTTGCGATCTGGATATCGATCTCAGTATGTATTTGTTAAATTATGCGTGGAGCTAGGAAATTATGTCCTTGGCCAACGAATTCATGAATGGAAGATCGCAGGATCTGGTGACAGTATTAATAAAATTCTACGATCATATTATACTGCAATTCTGTTGGATTCATTTTTACCTGTTGAGAACAAACGTTTCGATAGTTTCTCTTTTCAGCGCTCGGTGCAACGATTCAGGGAAAGAGTAGAGAACGATCCGAAGGAAGTTGGATCGATGGTACGGGTACTGTTTGGTAGGTACGGACCTGGTACGGTCTCACGGGCGAGGGCCTTTCAACTCGATCTCCGTATATCCACTACAGTCTCTCGTAAGGTGTGGTTCTCGGCGTTCTGGTCAGAACTATGCTCGTCCGGAATCAACAAGTGCTTCTCGAGACTACGCCGGGAAAACACTTGACCTAACCGAACTCTCCTCAGTGGCAAAACAGCTTCTTCTCCGTCGGCCGCAAAATAGCGCATACCCGGCGAGCTCGGCCACCAGTCGACTATAGACTCGCGTCAGAAGAAATCGGCGTGCCGCGTTAACAATTTTGTGATAAAACGATTGAATCGTATGGGAAAGTCGTTCGTTTGTTACGTCGCAATCATTGGACCAGGAAATTTGTGCGAATTCATTTCTGGGTAATGATTGATGGATCGATGAATCATTGATTTTTATCCGCGAAGATGCCGATGTGACGCGCGCGCTTCGACTCTCGGATCGAGCAGAACGATCCCTGACTCACGTATATGTCGTGTACCTGCCACCGGAGTTCCGCTACACGTGACTTCTTCACAGCTTGCCGAACGTCTGCATATCCGCGAATTACAATCTGATAAGAAGGAAACCGCGAGGTCTGAGGGAAATCAAGAGTTACCGCGAGTGAGTACCGTTCTCCACAGTTTACACCGTAATTAACGACACTGAGCAGCGAGGAACGTCTGGCTTCCTATCCTCATCGTACGCCGTAATACGTCAAACGATTCACGTGAATTATCGATGATTACGCACAATCGTTTGACGTGATTTTATTGTTTCACTCGACCGGCCACGTTTGGCTTTGGTTCCTCGAGATTGCGATCGCGACGGCTGCTTCTGTTGACGAGCGTTAGCCTCTGTCGTCAGTGGGAACGCTCAGCAATTTACTGTTGACGAAATATGAATTACGAAAGTCCTGGCGTAACCCGACGATTTGCATTGTCCGAGTTTGAATTAGGAAATCAAACTTTGAAATTTATTCGGCAGCGAACGTTCTAATCGAAATGTCAGTGTCCGTCAGAAACGTTTTTAAACAACCGGACGAAATGAGTAATTGAGGTTCGTAAAATTAATTCAACATCTAATGATCTATCCAATAATTAAACGCATCGACGTAACGATGAACGAAGGAAACTTGGCTACTAAAAGTACGAGGAATAAAAGCGCAAGGTATGCTTCAGTCCTCGGGGACTTAAAAAACGAGTTTCCCGTGCACCTGTCACCGAAGCGTTTCCTAGCTACCACGTGGCACGGTCAAACGGCGGACACTCGTCACACTCGGAATCGATTTTACACTTACAGCCAGGGTTCGCGAGGAGTAATTAAGAACTAACGCGTCGCGATAATATTTTAGAAAGTTTCGAGAGTTCCGGCGAACTTTCTTTCTTCGGTAACCGATTCAAAATCGATTATCGATAACGCACCGCGTCGGATAGCGTTCCAACCGTTTTCAAGTTTCGGACCGTTTTCAAGTTTCCTGATACGCGACAGGGCGAACAGAAATCAATATCTATTAATAGAAAAGAAAATAAAAAACAGTACAACTCGTAATTGTAACGGTTAGTGCGAATTTCACGTATTTACTGAGAGATGTCTAGAAATCGTATTTAATGTGTAGAGGCATAGCAAGATATGAATTTTTAAAACTGTTCCATTGCGTATAAGAGTTCCGAGTCTCTAGCAATGACAGTGTCTTGATGCTCGTTTCGATGGACCAGTACTGAAGTTTAGATTGCGTGCGATAAATCAGTTCGGGACGTGACGCGTTAACGTAAGAATCTGAGAACAACGTTGAAGACGGAATTCCCGGGAGGAATGCGGGCATGAATAAAGGACGCTGCAAGGAACGTATAAAATAATCGACGCACACAAGGTTCAACTTATTCGACGCAGGAATCTAGGTACAGTACGTACAACGTTGAACGAGGAATTTCTAGGACAGAAGAGTAACGTTACTATAGTGACACGTTCTCCAAACACGGAGCTAGGATTCGATTTTATAAAGAAATAGTACGATCGTTCGCACGAGCCGATAAAATGTAATGTAAATATGTATAAATTGTTCCGTGATTAGCAGCTACAAACCGATCATTTCTTGTTGACTTAGTGGTAGCTAAATTTGCCAGGAAAATAAATGTTTGTTCAACCGATGCATAGTTGACTCACAAGATTCTATCATGTATAATTCATGGACAGACAGCATTATGGTACAGCTGTATACATTTTCATTTCAATCGGATTTTCTCATTTGGGACTACGTTCTTGTGTCACGCGTAAAAATATCTTTGCCACGAGCAATGATCATCGATAGAAACAAACAGTAATTTCTAATCGTCTTCGCATCAGTCATTCTGAACGCTCACACTCGCATCGATTTATCGTGTCGACGGAGATCTGTGTCATTGTAACAAGTACAGGACCTACCTTTTAAGAGATAGTAAAACGCAAAAGAGAAATGGCTCCTTTTACTTCGGTTAACACAGTTTTCGCTCGCGTTCAGAAATTTTCCCTGCGCATTCGACGGGTGCGTCGAGGCTACCTTCGATTCGTAGATCGGTGCGTGATCGCCGATAAGGAACGCTAGCCGCAAAATGCGACGCTGGAATCCTTGTGCCCGTTTCTCGAACAATACCGCAACGACACATGATAATAACCGTCGAACCATGATTACCTCTTAACTCCTCGTCTGTCATTCCAATTATTTTCCTTTACTATAAATACATTTTCATACACCTGATTCTCATTATTAAGAACAGCCCCCCTTTTCGTGTTGAAAGCTTTAAGAATAGACTCGACACCCTCGGTCATCATGAGTATTGTAAAACATTTATGCACTTCATTAGATCCGACAGCGGCTTAAGCACTCAACAAATTGCTGGTAATTAATCATTTAACCCGATGTATTCATTAGTTCAATAGCTCCGGGAGATCGTTATCTTGTTGAACAATAAGCTCTGCTAAAATAATTGATGCGTTTAACGCGTATTGCGTGTGTAATATTTCGCATTTAGACTCTCTGCTATTAGATCATTAATATCGCCTACAAATTAATCATTATAGTAGCTGATTGTACTAACCGTTATGATACCGCACTTCAATACTCGGATTTAAAACCGTGTAAAATCTACATGGACAAAAAGATCTTCCGTTTTTATGTAATTAATTCTAAACCAAGAAGTGAATGACAACTTAAATGAAAAAGCGTCTCGCATTGTTCGAGTGTCAAGGCACCATGGTGTAATTTCGATTTAAGACGTGACGAGAAATATAAACTCATGCCTGTTCACGCAGACGTTTCACAATGATTCTCCGTTCTCCCTCGCGGATCGAGCATGTGCACCACGATATTGACGAAGGTGCGGAGGCCGTACGCGCGACACTTTATCGCGCTCAGACGCTGCCGTCAAAAAGCGAGACGATTTCGCGGGTGGTGAAAAGCTCGAACGGGTAGTTTGATATCGAGTTAAATTCGTCGAGATTCGAGCCCGGCTCAGGTATCTCCGCGGAACGCTGCGCTGCTGCGTTCGCCTAGCAGACGTTTGCATGTAGTCTTTTAGAGATTTCTCTCCGGTTTCACTCGACAGAGATTGCCGCGTCGAGATATTCCCGGTAACGAGCCGTAGCCTGGTTTCCAGCCTACTCAAAACCGAGGCGAATTCGTTTTATTTACATATCGAAACATTCACCCCCTTCACAACTTGTCAATAGAACTCTTTCGAATTGGAAAGTTCCCCCGCGATAATTTGGCACCGTGCGAACTCGGCAGATGCCTCGGAATTCTTGGAGGTATCCGAGAAATTTTAGGCTAACCGAGAATCTTGGCAAATTTTCCAAGCAACTTTTCGAGGTGTAGAAAAATACGAGAACTTGCGGGTTCCCCGGGGATCCTAGACTATCTGCTAAACTTACGGAATTCTAAGAACTTCTACCGAGATTTCAAACTTCCTCAGTACCTTTAACGTTCTCTATATCGAGTTCCAGCTTCAGATGTCAATATGTTTGTCTTGTTCGCATTGCCCGTATATAGGAATTGCTTATTTTCAGTAACGATGTAGAATGAGTCACGTTTCAGTAGATTTTCCCTGTACTGGCACGGCGCGTGCCGCAATTTGTTGCAACAGCACAAATGGACTGTGACCAACAGATCGTGTATCGACCTTGCCTCTGTAAAACAGCTTTCCTAAATGTCCTTTAGAAAATTATTCTGATCACTTCCTCGTTCAACATAATTGACAGCAGGATTTCTCTTAAAGGAGACTATAGCAATGAATGCATATAGATATATATATATATAGATATATGACATATAGAAAAATGGTGTACCATTTAATGTTATAAGCTTTTGTATTTAAAACAGCATGTAAAATTGCACGATGCACTGTTCAGTCGTCTATGATGACTCAAAGCATGGAGTGAACGACTTGGTGTGCATCCCACGCACGACAGACGCTGACTTTCACCCATTGGGTTCTAGTGGACGGGCCCACGAGATTTCTTTGCCGTCATATTTCCAAACGATACTGAAACCTCGTCTCGTTTAAATTATGCAATCACTTTTTATCGCGTTGACCCTCGTCGTTAATCGACTGCTTCAAAGATTTCACAAACACTTTTCCTTCGTAATTATACATTCCGTAAATCTATTAATATTAATAGCAGTGTATCAATATATATAAAATACTGATCGACGTCGTAATTGATACGTCATGATTAATAGACAAGAGTAGTGTGCATTTATATCGAATGCACATCGCAATGCATTTTTTTAATTGACTGTAAAATGTCGGCAATCTAGAGATTAAATATCGTACGATATCCAACATAGATTGAGATTAGACAAGAATTTCTAACGGATTACTACAAATTCAAGCGTAGAGAGCTTTCAGTCTTCTTTACCTTTCGCATCTCGAAAATTTCCGAGGAATTTTTCATCCGCCGTTACAAGATTATGGAAGCGTCGGAAGGCTCGCGTAGGTAGCTGGCCATCCAGTTTGCGAGGATAACACGGATCAAAAATTTTCCTGAGCTTCCCTAAAGGAAAGCTAATTAAAAGCTGAAAAGTGCGCGGTTTAACTTCGTGATCTTCATCACTCTTTCTTATCTGACAATAACTATTATCCAAAGTAACTCTTTCTATTATAATTTGAGCGTCGTACCATTTCGGTCGTTAAACTACAGTAAAATTATGACAGAGACAGACTGTCATCGCTTAAGGATGTATTGGCTATACAGTCAATCCCAAAAGTTTATGTACCTTAGAACAACGCATTTCCTATAATTAAAAAGAAATCAGACGTCGGAAGAACAATGCT